TATTTTTTCGTAATATCGTCACCCCTCTCCTTTATCGGAGAGAAACGCTCTATGGCGTTAGCGTATTTTTATAAGTTGTAACCGATTCTTATGATCTAGATCCTGGATGACGTAGCTAAATAATATAGATTTTTACTCACGTTTCGGAACATGCACGTAGGTTTCTAGTAAATTCCGTTACACGCGAAGGAAGTGGCGATGCAGCACGTTTGGAATTTGTTTGAATGAACCATGAAGAATGAACGAGAACAAGGAACAGATGTCAAAGTGTCTGAAAAATTGTGTGACCCGTCATTGATCAAACATCAGCAAAATAATTTCACGAGAAATGAAGGTAACACGCCATGTTTTGTTTTTTGCTGATCGTTATAAATATCAAGATAATCCTTCCTTTATAATTATCAGTTTATAAATATCATACAATTGACGTATACTAATCTAAGGCATAACTTGTATGATACAAGACAACAGTATTATTTATTAAATTGTTGTAATCGTTACGTGTAGTTATATAGTCATTTGTATTGCGTGATGAAGGTCGGGGCCCTCGTGTCACTTAGGCGTATTGATTTCCATTGCCCTGTCACGTTTCCCCCATGACATACATTTTCACCCTTTCATGGGAAATTGATATGCCCTTGACACGTTGATGTGTTTCGTTGTTCAAAGGAACATTTTCGTCGTAAGATTTCCATTGTATTTCACTTGATAAAGGATCTTACGTATTTTGTGTACGATTCTTACTCTCATTATTGTCGAAATTAATATTAGATTTTACATTCTGGAAATGTAAGGATCGAAATCGTGAGAATCAAATTTTAGAAACTTTGAAATACGCGCGCATACTTGGCGCAACGCAATTTTTAAACGCAGTCTTGTAAAAAATAATTTCTCGCGCGAGGAACATATTGTGTACTACGTATTTGTTGTAACATGAAATTTTACTTTGAATGTCGTCCGGTTTTCAAGAAAATTCAGAAAAATTCCATAGAATTCAATAGAAACTTTATAACTGAAGTCTTAAAATATTGCTTTAATTAGTCGAAATTTCGAAGTTCCTAAATGGAATTTTGTAATCGACATAAACTTGAACGATTTCTTGAAGCAAAAGGAGAACTTACACCATTCTCGAAATAAATGTACTTAACATATATTATAATATCATATGTCTTAACATATATTATAATATCATATTACATACGAAATTATATACTTTAACATGTATTGTAGTAATATTTTCAAGCAAAATTCACCTGTTGTAAATTCCAATCGCACGACACTTTGTATATGTTGAACGTTAATTAAAATTTTTATTTTAAAGACACAGTTTTAATAAAATGAAAATTTTTATTAAAATTTTCATTTTAAAATATCTTTTCTTCTGAATGTAAGAAGAAAAATTATAGCAAAGAAAATGACCAGTAATATTTTACATTGTAATATAGTTGTCGTTTAATGGAAGAAACAAAGAAAAAGCTGTTCTATAGTCTTCGCGTGTCGCGATTCCATCCCTCTGCGAAGGGAATATTCTGAATATCTGTCTTCCTATCGA